TAGAGATCCCTACTGATTGGCGGGACTGCTGGTTTCCCAACACACGGCACAGACTGAGCACAGCATCTCTTGTCGCATCCCCACCGGGCTCTTACCCCACCCCCAGCCCTGCCAGGCCCTGCCCCGGCCAGGCCCTCACCCCCCGTGCTGTGCCCACACAGACAACCTCTCGTACATCGAGCACATCTTTGAGATCTCGCGGCGCCCGGACCTGCTGACGGCGGTGGTGGCGTACCGCACCCAGGTGCTGAAGATCTCCGAGGAGGACGAGGTGGACACCAAGCTGACCTCTTACCCCACCCCCAGCCCTGCCAGGCCCTGCCCCGGCCAGGCCCTCACCCCCCGTGCTGTGCCCACACAGACAACCTCTCGTACATCGAGCACATCTTTGAGATCTCGCGGCGCCCGGACCTGCTGACGGCGGTGGTGGCGTACCGCACCCAGGTGCTGAAGATCTCCGAGGAGGACGAGGTGGACACCAAGCTGACCCGCATCCCCAGCGCCAAGAAGTACAAAGGTCAGAGCCCCCTACACGCACCCAGGGCAAGACCATCCCCACCCGTGGGGCAGGGAAGGCTCCGTGCCTCCTCCCCTCAGTGTGGAGTGTGAGGTGCCCCCCGCGTCCCTTCCTGGGTGCTGCTGGAGGGACAGCAGGTGCCGTGGGGTGCTGGTCCCTGCTGGGGGGGTCTTGGGAAAGTCCAGATGCTGGGGTCGTGGGCGATTGCCAGCTCCCAGGACATGGGGGTGCAATGTGCAAGACTGGGGTTTTTTTTGGGGGGGCAGGGTGACTGACAGGCAATAGGGAGACAGGGCTGATCTTTTCTGCCCTCCCCCACTGTGATTGCCTCGGCTCCCCCTCCAGGCCCCAGCAGAATGACACCCCAGTAATCAGGACAGTCCCCCCTCTTCCCGCGACACCTGGCAGTGGCCAGCAGGGCTTGCTCCTTGGGATTCAAGTAGCAGCAGCATCTCTCTGGGCAACCTGGCTAAGGGTGGGGGTGGGGCGACTGGCCAGGCCACCGCTCTCCTGGGGCAATTGGCCTGGGCCTGGGAACCTGACCCCAGGGCCTGGGATGGGGCCACCTTCCTGCTGTCCGGAGTTAACTCTGCCCCTGCCATCCTGGGAGCACAAACCCGGCAGGCAGCACTGAGGCCAGGTGACCCAGCCAGGCAGGGGAGAGAGAGCTGGACACGGCTCTGTGGGGAACTGGCAATTAGCTCCTAACCCCGCCCCACCCACCAAGCCCCCCGGTTCCCAGGGGTGCTGAGCATCCTTCGGGGAGTGAGTCCCCCACCTGCCCTTGATCTCTATGGTCTCAGGACCCACCTTTCCTCTGTGGACAACCCCGAGTGGGTCTGTGGGCAGCAGAGAAAGGGGAGCCATTCCTGAGGTTCCCCAGTCTGAACCCCACATGTATCAAAGGCCCCAGAGCCTGGCTCCTGGGCCTAGACCCCCACTCCTGGGCCTGGCGCCCGAGGGTGCACTCAGCAGCCTCTCTTAGTCTGCAGCTGCAGTAGCTGCTGTGTGGGACCCCACCAGGGGGGCGACAGCCCAACAGAGCCCATGGCAAGCCAGCGATACAGCCGATGGGGTAAGTGCAGGGCCAGGGGGGCAGTCCCCCCATTCATGCTCCTCCCCTCTCTCTCTGCAGACATCATCCGGCAGCCCTCCGAAGAAGAGATCATCAAACTGGCCCCCCCGCCCAAGAAAGCCTGAGTGGGGTGGGGGGAGGAGGAAGCTGGGGTCGCCCGCCAGGCCCGCCACTTTACCCCCCCCCCCACCAGCCCTCTTTCCCCTCCCCCGCCACTCCTCATCTGCTGCCCTACGGGGGAGGGGAAGAGCCTTGGCCACTAACACAGTGTTCACGCCCCCCTCCGCCACGTGTGTCTGGCCCCGGGGGATGGGAGGGCTGATGGTGATGAGTCCTGGGGGTGGGGCTGGGCTGCTTGGATCCGGATGGGGTAGCAGGGACATTCCTATGCAAGCGGAGATCCAGGCCTGCCCCTCCCCCAAGCCGGGTCTGCACCCGACTCGTGTGCGCCCCCTCGTTCGGGCCGAGGGGGCCAGATCCGAATGGAACATTCCCCACAGGAGAGGGGAGAAGGGGGAAGGGAGCCAGGAAGGAAAAGGAGGAGAGAGGGAGCAGGGAAAGTAGGAATGGAGAGGAGAGTGGGGGAGGGGAGGAGGCAGGGGCCAGTGGGGTCCCCAGGCAGGTAACTCACTGTGAAGCAAAGAGGTGGGGCCAACATGGTTAAAGGGCTCTGACTGGATGGGCACTGGGGGGGAGGGGAGTGCAAACACCCCAGTTGCTGAGACTAGGAGCAGCTGTCCCAACACCCCTGCAGCCCCTCCCCCGGCAGCCTCAGTCCCTCTCAGGATCAGGCCCGTTAGCTGCCCTAGAAGCAATGGGGGCAGGCACTGGAGCATTGTGCCAGTTGCACAGCCTCCCTGGGGTCTGGATCAGCAGGAGGGCTGGGCACCCACTCTGCTCCTGCACCAAGGAGCCCCCCGAAACCAAGCTGAGGAGGGGTCCCTGCTGTGGGTGCGGGAGAGGCCTAGGGATTCCAGACTTGGATAAAGCCCCAGGTCCCTGGTGGGGCAGGAGGATCGGGGAGAGATACCTGCCCTGGCAGCATTGGGAATGGTGAGGCTAAGGGGGCTGCGCCCTGTCCTCTCTCCAGGCAGACCTCCCTTCACCCCCTGAGCACACCCCCAGGACTTTGTGCACGTGCTGGCACAGAACGCACCCTCGTGCGCTCAGCCACACACAACGCCTTTGCACACAGGTACACACACACTTGTGCACAGGCCCTCGTGTTGGCACACCCAAGCACACGCCCTCTTGCCTTTGCGCACTCGTGCACACAGTCACATGTGCACACAATCGTGCCTTTGCGCGCGCACAACCCTACCCAGCACACACGTGCTTGTGCGTTTGCACACACAGCCCCCCACTCATTATTTTTCCCCACCCCTCCTCACTGGGGTGGGGAGCAGGCAGGGCCAGGAGGACAGAGCAAGGCTCCGGAAAGAGAGGGAGAGAGAGAGAGGGGGAGAGGGGCCTGGGAATTGGGAACCGGGTTAGGGGATGACCCAGCTGAACTGACACCAGTTCAGTTTGTTTCTGTGGGTGTTGGCAGAAGACGGGGGGAGAGGGGGCTGAGCACATGGGCCCCTGGAGGCGGATGTTCCATTTGAGGCCCCCCTCCCCCCACAGCTGTTTGCTCAGGGCTGCCCTGGATCAGTGCTCACACCCTTGTGTTCACAGCAGCTTTGGGGATGGGAGGGGGGATGTGTGTGTGTTGGGGGGGGGGGGGCTTTACCACTTTTCTATGACCCTGTTTGACCCCTCTTGACTTTGTGCCTTTCCTCCATATCACGAGTGGAAATCCGCCTCCCTCCCCCAGGCCTTCCTCTCCAGCCTGGCAGCTGCCCTTCATCACACCCCTCTGCCCCCCCCTCACCCCGGCACCCCTTTGCTGGATGGAACATTCGCAGCCTGAAGGTTCTGGAATGTTCAGCCAAAGTTCCTTCCACTTTGGAAATGCCGGGAGCAGCGGCTGCTCGGGGGTGGGGGGAGATTCCAGAAGGCAGGAGTGTGTGTGTGTGGGGGGGGGAATCAGCCAGGGCCAGGCCCCGGGTTCCTTCTCCAATTGGTATCTCACTGCCAAGCCAACCCCCAAACACCCCTGCTCCCCATGAGCTGATCCTGCCAGGTGCTGAGCTGCCCTGGGTTGCCTCTAGAGCGGCCCTTTGGGTCCACGCTGGCCTGGGATGCTTCTAGGCCTCTGAGGTGCTGAGCTCCCCTTATCTCTTTAGCACATGGAGAAGTTAAGGATGCACAGAACTTGGTGGGGAGAGCCAGTAACAGGGAGTCCGCCCAGGCAGCTGTTGTGACGTGGTGCTGGAGTAGCCCCATGATCCAGTGCCCACGCGGGTTACGGCTGCTCTCCTGGGAGTGCCGAAAGCTTCCCCAGAGCTCGGGAGAGGGGCGCAGCCAAGCGGGCTGGTGGGAGTGGAGAGAAAGCAGACCCTGCAGCTGGAGGCAAGGATTTTACTTTCCTGCGCTGGGGCTGGGCTTAGAGATTGTAGCCCAGTCCTGGGCCTCCCACCCCAGTGCAGGAGGGAGTCTAGGGTCCTTGTGGGTTGGGAACAGGTTGCAGCTGGAAGTCACTGAGTCCCTGGCAAGGCCCCAGTGGGTTCAATTACAAATGGTGTTGAAACTGACTCAGTGAACCTGACAAGAGTTTGCATCTCTTGCCTTGAGTCCAGAAACTTAAGTTCATCAGGAAAGGTGGCCAAGTTCTGAGAGTGGGGAGGTGACCAAGGTCTGGAGGGAGAGGCAGGAGGAGGGGCGGCCCTGACAATGATCCACTTTCTAAATTAGAATAGACCCCATTTCTCCAGCAAATCCAACTCTTGCCTCGGCCACGAGAGACTCCTCCGATTTGGGCACAAAAATCTCCCATAACCCAGCAATGCCCCCCCCCCCGAATGGCGACAATTCCCAGGTGACACCTTCCCTCCCGTCCAGTGGGAGAAATGGTGGGTCTTGCAGAACACCACCAGTCTGGCCTGCAGAGGGGGAGGAGGAGCAGCTGTGGATGGGGGAACAAAAATCCCTTCCGTACAGCACAAAATAGCATAGACGCTTCGCAAACCTGGGCCAGGAACATGCGGAGTGTCTAGTGGGGAGGGTGGTTGTGGTGCGGATCCCAGAGCCAAAAGCTGGGGCGGGGGGTGCGATGTAGCAGCAAGCCAGGGGGTAGAGACCCCTGTGGATATTTCTGCTCCCTGACGCCTACAACTGTGCACCATCCTAAACCGCGCCATTGACATCGCGGCTGGTTCCCCCCAGCCGCCCTGACAGGAGCCCAGGGATTGGAGTGTGATCTTAGCATAGAGCTTTCCCCTGAACTGGAGATGACCCCCTGGCTGGCTGAGCAGCTTGCGCTCCCCCAGCTCGGCACACGCCAGCGGCACCCAGCACCTTAGCCACTCAGCGCCACACAGGCCCAGCCCCTGGGCTTGTGAGCCTGCGGGGACGGTGCAGATTCTCGTGGCTGGGGGAGACACACGTGAGATTCCCGCGCACAGCTGGCGAGTCACTGGCAGTCTCCCGGGAGAGGAGGGAGCCAGACGCGTGGGACACAAATAGGGGCTTCTTGGCGAGCGACTGAAACGAATTTATGTTAATATATTTTATTTAATAAAAGCTCAGATCTGCCGTGTGCATCTTGTCTGTTAGCCAGAGCTGTGCCTGCCCCAGTGTCCCTCCCAGCCCAGCGTGATGGTGCGTGTCATAGGCCTGCAGCGCTATCCCTTATGGCTCAGCGGGACGCCCCGTTCCCCCTAGTGCCTCTCCCAGACTCTCCTTTCTCCCCTTCATCTGTTCTCCTTTAGTCCCAGCAGCGAGCACCCTGGAGAGCCAAGCCAGCCTGTGGTTTTTGTCTGTTTAATGGCCTGGTCAGAGCAAAAGCCGCTCTGCCAGAAATAGGGCTGACTGGGGGAAGTTCTGCCACAGTGACTTGGAGGCTGGAGGGGGGGGATGAGGCGCAAGCTCCCTTTTGCACCCCCCCACCCCCATTCTTGGTTTGTGACTGTGAAATGAGTCATCCCTGCCACACCTTGTGGGCGAGCTGCACCCCTATGGGTGGGGGAGATCTGGCAGAAGGGCCTAGCTTAGCATGGCAACCGACTGGGAGCCAGGAAGTCGCGGGTTCCAATCCTGCCAGACACTCAGCTCAAGCAAGTGGTGTTCTGTGACTCAGTTTCCCCAGGGGTGCTTGTGCCAACCCACCTTAGAAGCAGGAGCATGAGGGTTCCTTAATATCATTATGGCACCACCCTGCCAGGGGTCTGACTTGGCAGCCATGCTGTAAAGGAGCCCTCCTGCCGGAAGGCATGCCAGCTAGGCACAGGCTTAATTAAAACAGTGCAAAGAGCTGACAAAAGGACCCAGTGGCTCCTGCCAGCTGCTGAGTGTGACCAGCTTGGGGCTGCTAAGGTCCTGCTTTTCCTCACGCCCTTTGGGAGGAAGCGGTGAAAATGTCAGCTCATGCCCAATCTGGTCAGCTGCAGGTTCGAATCTGTGCCGAGTACCAGCCTTAGCTTTGGCCCTTTAAGGATCTCCCTCTTGGGAGCCCCCTCACTCCCTCGGGGGGAGGGGGGGCTGATTTCAGGGTTAACCTCAGCTGCAATTAGTCTCAAGGCTGCTGGGTACAGACAGACCCTGGAGATCTCTCAGACTGGTGCTGCCCAGTGTCATCCCATGGGAGTGCCCTGCACTGAGCAGTCAGGCCAGGACCCGATGGCTAGCAGAGGGCATTTCATCCCACTGCCTGCGTGTTGTCAAATAGGCTCAGATGTGGGCTAAGGGGACAAGGGACTGCGGGAAAGGGGTTGGGCTGCTATTGATTGCTTTCTGCCAGCTCTCCCCTGCCGCCAGCGCCTGCTCAGCCTCTAACGCTCAGACCGCGCTAACTGTGTGTACATATATAATATAAATATATGTATAGTAACTATAATGTTGAATGTTTCCTTATTGTTATTTAGTGTTAACTTATTTTGCCAGCAAACAACAAACAAAAACAGAAGCAACCAGAACTAGTGATGGAGGCGGCGGAAGGTTTTGGGGGTTTTTTTGGTGTTGTTTTGCTAAAATAAACAGTATTGTTACGAGACCCAGGTATTCGCTTTCATGCAAAATAACAACTCTTTTGTAAACTGTTTTTAAAAATGTACGTTGACATCTGTGGCTGGGGGGACTTGGCGGG